AATTATCATAACTTGTGTGCAGTTAAGCAACAACTTACTCTTGGATTTCACTTGGATTTCATTTCAGTTTTATTGGTTCACCAAAATAAATATTGCTAGTGAAATGGAAAAAAAAAAAAAAAAAAATAGAAGTAGTGAATGATACAATGAAGAAATAAATTCAAATTGTTGATTTTTATTCATAATTCATTTTGTTATTTGGTACAGTACAACTTCTCGTATTGTAAAATACAATACTTTCAGTTCTTTAATCCTATTTAATCTAATATATTGATTCCTGACAAAATCAAAATCAACAATTGCTGGCTCGAATTTTGTCCTTATGTCTCGTAAAGAATTTACAGAAGAAAAAAAAATATGCAAGACCATTGAAAGTAACTACTGTATATAATTGCAAAATTAAGCGTGAGTAATAGACAGATGCAGCGGAGAGAATCCAATTTTATAAAATAAAACAAAATGTTCAGAATAAGATGATGAATAAAACTGAAATAACGAAAGTCCACCCACGGACCGGTGCAGGTCCGCGGCCTGGGGGTTTAGGACCACTGACCCAGGTGACCTACTGTAAGTCACAACCTTTCAAATTTGTGGGTAGAATCTCTAAAGCGCTACAACTCCTTTTGACACATTTTTGCTGTATATGTACAACAACAACAACAACAACAACAAATACGACCATTGTATCTTATTTGAACGTATTCAAAACAGGAAATACGCCCCAATATTTAGCGGCTAATATTTTACGCTAGCTCACCTCGACATACAGCAGAATGAAAAAGTGTATCTTGGCAACACTGAACGCTCAGTGAACTGCACCTGTCATATGACTGTTACACAATATGGTATGAACGATGCTGAGTCTCTATAGGACTTTAAAAAAGAAAAAAGAAAAAAAAACTCCAAAGACTCAGTCAAAGAAATTTGTAGAATTCTTAGAGATTTATAGAACACGGAAAATCTTTTGGACCTGGTTTTATTAGTCCCTACCAATCAGCATTTTTATTAACATCATTATGCACTATACCTTATTGATTTTTATTTATAAGCATTACACAATGTTGACCACGACATTTTGCATAGACTTGAATCAGGTATTTCAGAAACTACTCTCAGTAAAAGGATTCAGTCTGCAACATATGAGCATTTTTTTCAGATATAGGCACTGTCCACAAGGGGGTGCCAGAGGGTTCTGTATTAGAACGCCGCTCATTCCCTTTTTTAACATCAGTGGTTTGGGCATAAAAATGACAGATGCTTGTTTTTAATTTCTATGCGAATGACATGACAGATAGTATAAATACCTAGGTATCTAAAAAAAAAAAAAAAAAAAAAAAAATCCCTCGCTTTCAAGCCATATGTGGAAAAATTTTGAAGGTAAGACTAAAACTGTAACTGTAATATACATGAAACACAGAATAGCTGTCAAATAATAATGGCCCAAAAGGTTAATGATGTATACCAATGTGGCTAATAACAATAACAACAATAACAAGCCTTAAAAATCTTTCTGATGGTGCGCAACTATTCCTGTTACGTTTATTCTTGCGCGTTTATAGTGCTCAACTGCTGCCGCAGCTATCATTTCCTGAAGGAAACTCCCAATAAAATCTATCTATCCATCTATCTATCCATGAAAATGTTTGAATCCGTACTAATAGGCGTATTTATTTGTAAGCGTAAGCCTTTTTAACAGAAGCTATTTGCAAGAGATCCAAAGAGGAGACACGAGGATTAAGAACGGTAGGTGGAGGTTCACTGGCTTCACGTGGGACTTGGTGGTAATGGGACGTGATGGGAGGTGTCCAACGTCCTCACAGTTGTTACTACTGTTCTCCCCAAAGGGCCTCCTGCGGGGTGGGCTCAAACCAGCCAGCCTTCCTGCTGCTGTCTGGCTCCCCACTGCCTGGCCTGAGGCGCCGTTAGCATGGTCGTTACTTACTCAGAGTCACAGTTTTGAGAGGACTTTTATGCTGGCTGAGATGCCGACCTTCTTTGTGCACTTCCGACACAGGGGTACCAGACAGATTACGCCTAATAAGAGGCGCTGCTTAAGAGGGAGAGGTTGATTTGTTGTGTACACATTTGAAGAGGACAACCATCACATGCTCAATACTCAGCTGTCAGTGAAAACAAAAGGCCTCCCTGTCTGATGAAGACAATGTTGTCTCCACATTTATGGACATACATACGTCTGGGGATTGGCAGATGGGGAATGGCTGGAGGAAACCTATGTTTTCTTAACCCTTTCATGCATGACGGTCACTACAGTGGACAGCTATGAAAATGTCATTTTCTATGATAAAGAATAGGTTTTGATGGCAGTGTTGCATATAAGCCTCTACAGCGGACGCCTGAGAATCACCCAACACTGCCATACAGTGGTCAGCCTTTGCAACTGCAGAATAATTGCTCGGTGGAAAGGCGCCGGGGGTGGATGAGATCCGCCCTGAGTACCTGTCTCGCGAGAACACAACTTTATCTTACATTATATCATTATTATCTGTAGGATAACTAACAGAGGTGGGACCAAGTCGTCGCTTTGCAAGTCACAAGGAAGTCTCAAGTCTTTGCACTCAAGTCCGAGTCAAGTCTCAAGTCAAGACGGGCGAAGTCCGAGTCGAGTCCAAGTCAAGACTGAAAAGTGTCAAATCAAGTCCATCAAGTCCTGCCATTTCTGTTTCGAGTCCTTTCTAGTCCTTTTAAACAAAATAATAATATATTTACACAGATCACTTTTGGGTTTTGGAGAAAGCATCGAGTCTTGTCGAGTCAAAGGGCTCAAGTCCAAGTGAAGTCACGAGTCATTGATGTTAATGTCCAAGTCGAGTTCCAAGTCTCATTACATTTTGTCAAGTCGAGTCTAAAGTCATCAAATTGATGACTCGAGTCTGACTCGAGTCCAAGTCATGCGACTCGAGTACACACCTCTGATTATTAGTACCATCAGAACGTGCAATAAGTTGATCCGGATCTACCAGTTCATCACAACGGGGAGTGCTGGTGGATGATGAGCAATTCAAATAAAAAAAATATAAATAATTCATATGACTACAACTTTGTAGTGGTCACTGAACCGTATATTGTAAGAATTGAATCATATTGCGCCATGGAGCTATGTGCATTAATCAGCCAAACATATTATGTGCACCATCATTCCAAGGTTATCTTGGAACGATGCTAAATCTTTGCACCGTGCCAGTGCCAATCATGCTATTTACCACTTCTGGGCAAACGTGTCTCTGCATTTAAAGCATTCTGGAAACCAACACCCAAACTCTCTTCGTTTCACTTTTCTGCCGTTTACAGTAAATTACACTTTAAGCATATCAGCACATGTTTGGCATTTGATTCGCGTGGTAAGGGCTAATGATATATTTTGGGGGTGTGAGATCTTGGGTTAGTCATAGTAATAAATCTGCAAGCTATTTATTAAGGGATAGGATGAGCCAAAGTTTGCAGACGGAAAATGGAGCCATGTATTCAAATCACTTTCAAGGTGTTAAAAGGATAATTGAGGCTTTTTAATGTGGACTTGGCAACCCACTCCAATAACCTGCAGGAGCGACTGACGCCTCCTTACACCTTGGTTAACCCTAAGAGGAGTCTAAGAAGCGGTGATTCACTATTGGAAAAAAACTCAGTGGAAACACATCAAGGTACTTTTACTTTAACTACTTGAGTGTATGTACAAAGGCAAATACTTTTGTACGTTGACTCAAGTGGAAATTTGAAGTTAATGCTTCCTCTTTTACTGGAGTAATAATTTACAAAAGGTATCTAGGCATTCATTCAAGTACATAGTTATTATGCCAAAAATATTTTTTACATATATATATACATATATTTCTTATAAATTTTTGTTTTGTTTCTGCTGCATATTTTTATATATTTTTGTTTTGTTTCTGCTGCATATTTGGTATTCTTTCAGATATTTTTAAAGACATTCTACACGTTACTTTATTTACTAAGATGTACCATTCTTTTAGCTAATTTTTAGGTATTACTTACTATTAAAATATAGGGCGTAAATTTTAAAAAATATATATTACTTTGCATAGCAATGTTTACCACATTTTCTTTGTTTTTTGTTTTTTTTTTGTTTGTTTGTTTTTTTGCCATTTATTTTGGCTACTCTTTTGGCTTAAAGAAATTCTATTCATGTCCTCCATTACAAATGAGAGATGCAGTATTGCGACACCACCTGGTGAGATTAAAAATAAAATATCGAAGGCCTAGATAATTAGGTAACTTGTGGTAAATGTCGTACAAATATTACATAATTATGCTTTTCTCTGCCATCTTTGAAGGTATTTTACACAGTATATAAAACAATAAATTAACACGTGCCATATTTGAACGTGGTTAATGATGAACCAAAGTTATACACAATATGTACACTGAAATGCAGCTCTAGAAATTATTACAAATAAATAATACCAAGGAGATTATTGGGATTAAATCCGCATTGGTATAAACTGTAACAACAACTTTCAGCAGACTGCGAATTAAATACTACTGTGTAAAGTTTTTGACTAAAAGTTTTATTTCACTGATAAATTCTAAATGTGAACGCATATATTAGATAAGAGCTCGAGCGCTTTCACGGTAAGTCGGAAGAAAACGCTAGTCGGTAGAAAATGCTCAATTTTCGACTAATCCCCTGATTGAAATTTACCCATAAAGCCCTTCTCTTTAGCTTTTAGATATATAGAAATATACCCATAAAGCCCTTCTCTTTAGCTTTAATTCGTCCAGCTCCAGCCATACGTCCTACAGCTCTTAGCGTAGCGTTACGGCAACCGTACACAAGAAAGAACGAAAGAGAAGGTAGCGCGCGAGAGGGACTTCCGAATGCTCTCTTCAAAATAAAATGCTTGAGTTAACTAACCAACACTGCTTCGATAGTTAGGACGTTTCAACGAATTACTTGTGCCGAACGCTAGAAACCCAGGAGCTCAGTGGTGAGCTCGCGAAAACTGGGGGGTCCAAGTTTGAAGTACATGACCGGAAGTCGAGGTTTCCTCACCGCTAAATGACTCTCGCCTTCGTTACTTGACAGAGACCTGAGGAGATAATACTGTGAAGTTCACCGCTGAACTTGAAACGTTTTTTTCCGAGACCCGCAGAAAGAAAACACCTGAAAACTCGGACTTTATTTTCATTATATATATATATTGAATGTTGTTTTTATCATTCAGCCAAATTTTATTTTATGTCTGTCATTATTATGAGAGAATCGGACAGGGAAAATAGCGCCATGGTGTTTTGAGGTAACTAACCTTTTCCTACTTTTGATGCTTTCTCTAATATAAGACGTTTTCTTGCAGCCAGTCGTTATTATTTTCCAAAAATGGTGAAACGCTTTCCTTTTAAAGCTTAATAATAATCATTATATTAATCATCATAAAAATGAGTCAATTGTTGTTTACCTGTTTCCAGTAAGGCAACAGTTAAGGCAACACACCATGTGTATCCTGTTTTCTTTTTACTTTTTTAACACTTAACTGGATTTTAGTCATATTTTATTATTATCATTTGTTGGAATACACAAAACACTTAACTGGATTTTAGTCATATTTGAGGTCATATTAGTATGGTAGTGTGGTAAAAGTATTCTGGAGCTATCATGCACTAAATTATAAATTATTTGTTTTAAAAAATACCTTTAAAAACTAACATTAGACCTCAAAAGAAGGTACAAAATGACACCTCAATGCGAGTTAAATCTCAGGTTTTAAGGCTTGAGACATGGGGGACGTGGGAGGTGGCGGAGGGCTAGAGCGGTGGACGTGCACTTGTGAAATTGTTTGTGACGTCAAAGCTACTTGTATTTCATTGAGGAGCTTGTAATGTCATATGCTGTGTTCTCCTGGGGAATGTCTCAGCATGTTCTGGGCCAAGTGGATTGTGCAGCGTCCTGACCAGATCCCCCTGACCGGGTCAAGTAGGTGGATGCCAACTCTGTGCAGAGGTTTTTGTGTTGTTAATTAAAGAAGCAATTGAGTGCACAACGTAAACTGGAGACGTTGCAGAACTGACCTTTTTGCAGATAACGTCAAAGCATCTTGCAACTGACCAGCTTAACAATAACATAATAAGTCTAGTTCTAAAAATGTTTGTGATCAAAGGAACTTTTAATTTCTGAATTAATTTTCTTTTAATTTGAAACTGGTCTGATCAAACAAAGAACAAACTTTGTTTGACCTGTCCTTTAGTTTTGAATGCAGGACCATGAAACACAATTTTGCCATTTCTTGTCTCACTATTTATTTTAAGTCAATTTTTTTACAAATTCCCGAATAACCAAATATCAATATCAATATCTTTAGTAGGCGGATTATTTGTTTATATATGTTTTGCACATTTTGATTCAGGTTTATTTGCTAAATAAAGAAAATAAAGAATAAAATAAATAAATAAAATAAATTAAAAAAAATATTTAAAAATTTAAAAATATTTAAAAATTAAAAAATTTAAATAAAATAAATAAAGAATAAAAAACAAAAAAAATTCTTTACATACCAGTTTAAAAATCTGAACTCTTCTCTGTTGGATGGACCTGAGAAGGGCTTTACGTAACTGCTTATATACAGTAATAATCATAATTATTTTGGTCAATACTGATCATGTTTTTTTTAACACGAATGCTCATTGGGTAATATATTGTAAGTATAATATTAAAATATTGCAAGACTATGGAAAACATGTATATGTCATAAACCTAGTGTTTGAACTTTAGTTGGTTGCCAGATGGTTGTGTATTGTATTGTACTTAATTTTGTATTGTATTGTATTGTAATATTCCTTAAAAAGAAATGGTCATGTCTTTAAGGGGGGCCATTTGTGAGCCGATCAATGAAGTATGTGTACCTAGTAGTACTGTAAGCACTGCGTTTCACTTAGTTCAGTTTACTTAGCAAAAAATAACTTTTGAAACAAAACAAAAATATATAGTAGAGGATATAAGAAATATTTTTGGCATAATGTTCCATGAAGTACATTAACTACATACTTGAATGAAGGTATAGATACTTTATGTCAAATATTACATATTATATTATATGAAGCATTAACTTCAAATTTCTTCGTCTCTTCCTTCACAGCGACTTTAAGATTGCGAAAAGGCTTCGAAGCAACACCTAGAAAAACCTTCTGGGGCTGCTCTAATGGGGAGGCAGCAAAATCCTGTGATGCCAGAAGATGCCCAGCCGAATTGTATGAAAACTCCGACCTACTTCGAGAAGACGAGCAGTTGTGAAAGCGCTTCGACATCCGTGACCAAAGAAAATATTCACCTGGTCAATGAAGTCCAGTTGACAGCAGCCACTGGGGGAACGGAGCTATCCTGCTACCGCTGCACTGTCCCATTCGGGGTAGTGGTTCTGATCGCAGGTATCGTGGTCACTGCCGTGGCATACAGTTTCAACTCACATGGATCCACTATTTCATACATTGGCCTCGTGCTCCTCACCGCTGGATTTTTGCTCCTGGCATCCAGTTTTATCTGCTGGAAGGTAAATCTAGAGAGAAAGAAAGAGCGGCGACGAGAAAGCCAAACCGCCCTGGTTGCCAGTCAGGAACATTTTCACTTGAATCCAGGAGCTGCAAAGTCAAATGGTTCTGGTTCTGACGTAGTTTTGGTGTTGGGCCACCAGGGAGAGATGGAGCAATCCGACTAAATTTCAAACATAATGCTCCAAGCATCTTTCAAAGCAATTAACGGTGAGCTTGAAGACGTTATTTGGGAATCTTCAATCGACAGCCGGACAGATGTTGTGCAAGCGTTTGAGCTGAGAACAAAACGGAAAGAAACTTATAATAATGAAGATGAATGACCACTATGTTATTTAATGCATATTTTTTTTTGCATTATCGAACTGCACAAATCTTTGTTTTTTTTTTTTGCTTTTCTTTCTTTGCATATGACTGGTAGTGACAGAAACCGAAATGAGAACTTATGTTCTGAGTCAAGTTTGGTGAGACGCAAGGGAAACATCACAAAATATTTACAAGGAACACTAATATCTTGTATTCTAACAATATCATCCTTGTATCATATATTGTCAGACAAAGAGGCTACACTTAAGACACGCTGGACAGTGTGGCTCTGTAATTATCGTGACCAGAATTAAGAAGACCTTACATTAAAATTCATTTGGCTCATTCATTGGCTTTTTTTTTTTTTTTGTAATGTACCTTTATTACATAAACATTGGACCTCAGTTTAAAGAAAACGTTCAACTAATGGACATACAAAGGAGGTCAGTTATAAAGATGGACATGCCACTTTGTAACAGACCTTTGCATTCCAGTATCTGACAAATAGAAATGGAAAAAAAAAGACCAAGAATTACCGTAATTTCCGGACTTTAAGTCCACTAAGTCTCCCCTGTGCATTCCAATTTCGGTCAGGGGCGCCGAAGCAGGAAAGAAAAAAAAAAATTTTTTTAAATTTGTTGCATACAGCCCGTTCAGCTTTTTAATCCGGCCTGCCAAACTTTTCCAAATTATATAATTTATTTATATTGTCATTATACTTCTGTCTTCTCCCTGCAATATCAACGTTTCCCCAATAGATGGCGTAGAAAATGATAAAAGCATTTTAGCATTTTTGCATGACTTTTATCATCTTTCCTCTGCCTCTGACCCCGCCCTCTGCTCAATTTTAGGACAACTGTGTGACCCACGAGTCAAAAAGTTTGCCCACACCTGCCTCCCTCTTTCCTCCTTTTTTTTTTTTTTTTTTTAAAAGACCCTTAAAAGCCTGTTTTTGTTGATTGTCTTTCTTTCTTGAAATTTGCCACTACTTAATTCTACGGTATATTTATCTTTTTATATATAACTACGGGGCTTATTGCTATGTTGTAAACATAGTAATACAATAATTGTTTTTCTTGTTTATAAGTAGTGTATCAGAGGTGAGGAACATTGTATACTACTGTAATAGTGTTTGCGTAACAGAGCGAAGACAATGAAGAAGGACGGCACCTGTTTGACTCCAGGCGCACGTTTTTAACCCTAACCTGACAGACCTTAAGAACGCCGAGTTGTACGTTTCAGGAATTGTGCTAGCGGCCTAATGGCTTATGTATATGTTTTGAGGTCCTTGAAGTACATAAAGAAAACATGAACAGTGTTAAAGTTCCACATCAGCAGATTCTACGGTAAACGAATACGAATCAATGCGATGAGTCCTACGAGATTAGAAGTGTGTGTGTGTGTGTGTGTGTATCTGTGTTTTGTGTCATAGCCTCTCTTCTGACGCAAGGAAAGCATTTAGTTGTAGTGTCTGGTGACACAGGAATGCATAGCGACGCAAATGCTAACTATAAATACACTCCCACTACAGGCTGTTTGAAAGTGTCAAATTGGAGAGTTTAGTTTCGTATTTCCCACTGAGGAATAAGAGGGGTAATCCCTCACACTTATTATACGTATTCTATCAGATAGGGAAAATGGGTTAAACATTATTCAATTCAAAGTTAATGGTCATCTTAAAGGGAAAATGGGTTAAACGTTATTAAATTCATTCAATTCAAAGTTAATGGTCATCTTACGTTGTTATATTACCACACTTGTTTGGATACGACCTGCACAAGGCCCCAAATTCAGGTGTGGACGGTTCGACCTGTCCCATTGTTTCCCTGGTGCCAACACTCAAAAATATGACTTAAAGAGAGTTTTAAAGTTAATATTAATAGTCAGTTGTTAAGGTCGGCGCTTCACTTTCATTTACTTAGTGTAGTATTTTTGTTTGAAGTTGACCTACGGGTACTTGTAACGTTAGCCTTTCTACAAATAACCAGTTCATCTGTACTATGACTGTAATAAAACGGCCAGAAATACTGGTCCCTGTTAGGAACAAAGGATCCCAACATTTATAGTATTTTATTTTATTTTATTTATTTTAGTTAGTTTTAATTGATTTTTTTTTTGTATTATCGTTATTATTATTATACTTCTATCCTTTTGTTTCTCCATCTTTTCTAATCTAATCTAATCATATGTTTTCTAATCTACTCAGAACTGCAAAAATGAGATTCAGAAAAATAAGATCATATTTTTCATAACATGCTTTATTTTTTTATTTTTTTTTAATGATCAGTAGATCATTAAAAAAAAAATAAAAAAAATAAAGCAATCCCATCAAAGGCCCTAAATATAAAACAAGAGTATACATATATATATGAACGCACACTCTAAATCATGAGAGGGCAGAGATTATAGAAGAAGGCAAGGTTCTTGTCCACTGTGATAATCCCATCTCTAAGAGGATTCTGGTATTCTGGTGTTCAAAGGACAAAGACTGATGTAATCTATCAGCCCTGTTTGTCCAGACAAAAACAGATAAGCTTGCAGATTCAGGGAAAATGCTCGGACTTCTCTGCCCTGCATGTAGCGCATGCTCTTTGGCTTTGTGCACGGCCAGATGGCTTTTTAATCCCACACTTACAATCAAGATTAAGATTACGCCACACACAGCTCCGAATTTACAGGGACATGCACTTCTGTATACGTCAAAAAAAACGCAAAGTAATGAATGTTTTTAGGTGACGTCAAATTGACAGACTTTCAGCTGGATCTTACAATGTGAAACAATTCATTGAGGCAGCAGGGAAATCCAGGCTCTGCAGGGATTAAAGTATTTTTACCACAAGCCACAAATCAAGTAGGAGTCACAAGTGAAGGTAGGAAAGGAAAGGAAAGGAGGGGGGGGGGCGGAGGAGGAGAGTAGAGAGACAGATTGAAAAGGGGATAGAAAGCGGGAAATCCCTCTCTTCTTTCTCTGAGTTGGCTGTTGATACCATCTGGGTTGCCCCGACTCGGAGTTGTTTGTTTGACTGAGGCCTTTCAGGGCCTTCAGAGGTGCCATGGGCTTTCTGGAGAACTACCAGGAGATCGACCCTGTCACTTTGAACCTTTGCATCCTCATCGCCAGCTACGTTATCTTGCTTCTGGTCTTCCTGATTTCCTGTATAATGTATGACTGCAGGGGCAAAGATCCTACGAAGGAATACGCTCCGGACCCACAGCCAAGCCAGTCTCCTATCCGACTGGTGGTGATGCAAAGCTCGCCAGCGCAAATAGGACAGTGGGACATGAGCAACATGATTACGACCTACCACGAGCAAGCAAATTTAGACTTCAGAGAGAAGAAGAGCACAATGGTGTGAAGGGGACACTCGGTGCACATATTTGCCCCTTTTTTTTTTTTTCTCCACGTACTGTCACTTTATCTGTTGTTACGTAAACAATGCTTGGGTTGGACCTGCGCAGGACAAAACTTGGAAGGTGAGTAAAACGGTAAAATGCAAAAGCGATGCAAAAGTGGGAGAGAAGAAGAGCAGTTGACGTGCAGGTGTCGTTGCAAATCTTCAGACCAGATCGTAATTTTTACAAAATTTGATTTTACAAATCGCCAGACCAGATCGTAATTTTTACAAAATTGCCATTAAATACTATTATAAAATAAGGTATAAAAGTAAGATTTTTTTTTGTTTTTATTTGAAAAGTAAAGCCTGGAAACATTTGGTCTGTTCTTCAGTAAGAAGGCTAGGTAGGTTTGTAAGGTCTTTGAATTTTATGAGTTTGTTTTTTGGTCCATCCCTTTTTGTTGACGATAAGATTTAGCACTCAACTAACCTGCTGCAGTCGTAAAAGCAGCTACAGCTCAAAGCCTCTTATGCCTGCATTTAAAACATTGCGATGGTACACTAACTCTTAATAATCTTGTGTTCCAAAATGGCTATATCCGATGGCTGGAACTTTATGAAACTATGATCTGTAGGATCATAGTTGAGGCTAGAACATCTGAAATCAACAGGAATGAAACACACTTGAAGAGTCATGTGAAGCATTTTACACGTACAATTTGCACACATTTTGTAGCGTTATTCCTCTTGGTATATAAGGAGCGGAGGACTAGGATAACTCCTGGTGTGCTGTTGAGGAATCTAATCTCTGTCACAGGAGGTATAAGTCATGGGCAAAGGCTAAAGAAACGGGGTCAGAGGCTAACAGGAAGGGTTAGCTGCGAAGAAATAATGAATGTACGACGCAAATTGAAACTGAATGCGAATACTGCTTCGACTCAAATTTGGAAATTTTACTTAATAAAAATACTGATATAATTGTAATACACTGCAATTCCGCGCCCTCTGTCACGGTTTCGAAAAAGGTATCCTTTAATTATACATCTATATTATTGTGTCCTGTTTGTTTTTTTGTCTGATTCTAGATCTGCTTTGTTAATTACTATGCTTCAATAAGTGATATGAATGATATTTTGACATGAAACTGACAGCAAGTTTTAATAGTTCTTTAATCCAGAGGAATTGTTTTCCTTTGGGAGCAAGATGGCTGATGTTGAAGTAGGGTACTGTATGCCATTAAACACCAGTTTTGGTAAGGTAGCTAGGTGTCCTGTAGGTCATGTGCTCAAATCTACCTACTGTACATGCACCAAGAAAGGCATCTAATGTAAAAACATTTAAATTCAACCTTTAAATCGACGATGTGGTGGAAAAATTAAAGCAGGAACAAAGATGTGTTCCTGCACAGTATCGAGCCATTTAATGGACCCCAATCAGACACTACTATTAGTAAATATTAACATATTTATGTCATGTCTCCAAGAGCGTTGTTAGCGGGGGGTTTTTTTTTTCGATAATAAAAACTCAATAACGCAATTCCTGGGTTTAAGCGTTGTTAGCATTTTTTTCCCCTCTGATAATAAAAACCCAATAACGCAATTCCTGGGTTTTGCGAAATAAGAGATAGAGTCGCTTGTAAAACATAGAACACATATCGATATCGGAGTTTTGGGGGCAAAATTGGCATATCGGATATTGACAAAACGTTGGTATCAGCTATTCCTCGTACTTCTGACTTTTTCAGTTTATTTTTAGATGATTTATTATTAGTAGTAGTAATAATTATTATTATTTATTTATAGATTTATTATTATTATGTAATTATTTGTTGCCCCAACTGCGAAGGTGGAGCTATTACAACATGTAGATGAACAAAAGCTGTACAGCCTCACTGGCCGTGTGCCCCATTGTGGCTGAAGTATTTACATGGTTACTCATAGGTCATGCTTGTCAATTGCTATGCTGAATGAGCAGCTAATCTTAGCTCTTGGGCTTGACAGAATGAACAGGCAACCGCTTGATACTTGCACAGGTAGACGCAGTAGTATTGTTATAGCCACCCACTTACGTCACAGAGTTGGTGACATTGAAACTGTTTGTTTTGAGACACATTATAAATTTTCCATTTAGTTTTCCGCTGCCATATCTATATTAAGTGATTAAATAACGTATACTATTGAATTGTTTTTTTTAAAATTTCAAATAAAGTGCATCACATCACTGACGTCCAAGGCGACCATCTTTAATTCTAAATGGAAGACGGCGCTGTCAGTCAAAACCACATGTTGAGCCGCTGCGCGGTGGGGGAGCGGTTTCATAGTAGTGCTTTGTTTTACAGCGTATTTTAATTTGGTTGCTTCTTTCCTTTCGTCTTTCGCTGTGCCTATGGAGACGTGCAGGTCAGACAACAGATGTATTTGTCACAGAATGGCGTTCAGAAAAAGGCTGAAACGGGGACTGGACGCTGCTGCTGTCACTGCTGTTGCCGCTGCCTCAACAAAGCAGCCATGAGAGTTAGCTTCTGTTAGCTAATGCTAGGCCTAGCGTTTCTTTTGCTGTTAAAACAGCACTTTAATTTATTTTGTTACGTAGAAACTATTATTTGCAGGGGTATTCACCCAGTTTGGGTATTCAACCAAAGCCGCTGAAAATGAAGAGAGTAAACAGCTTTCAAAGGTGAGTGAAAAGTCAAACTACCGGTATAATTCACTTTTACGGTGAATAGCATTGTTATTATGAATGAATTTAAAGCTATACTCAATAAACTTTGATATACAAATAGTATTACGGTTTGACTTGTACACGTGGGCCTTTAAAACAAACATTGAAACCAGTAAAAGTATGTTTGTCCTGTTGCCTGATAAGTAAACATTTAACGTTTGCAACTTTTGTTCTGATTGACCACAGAGCTAATGAGCAATGTATGAATAAGTATTGCCAGTTCATGTCCTTTAAAGCTGAAAATGCTTGTTTTATTTTGGCACAGTCACTAAAATGACTGCAAGCTAGACTGGATTGTTGGAAGGAAATAATATACACAAATAGCAGACTTTATTACATTTAGTTATGGGGACCTTCTCTCTTGAATCTCTTCGAGAACTTGGTTATGGGGTTAATTTCCAATCTGTCAGGTCAACGTCAGAGTTTAAAAATGACTGATTGTATAATCCTAGTAAAACCTGTATGAAGGTCTGAAGTCCTTAAAGGTGCAGCTGGGCGTTCTTCAGACAAATGACTGAAAGAAACAAAACATGAAATAAACTCTGTTTCGATTGTTGTGGACAAACGGCTATCAATAAAATACCATGGATGGATATTATCAGATGACAATCCAAGTAGGAATTAGCCAATAGCTAATATGACTGTCCTGTTTCTTTGCTCGAGATTCATCTAAAAGTTCATTTCCTGTTTGACATTGATGTAATAGCAGTCACCAGGTTTTCTGCAACACCCAGTTAATGTCTTTGACATTGACATTGATGTATTAGCAGTCACCAGGTTTTCTGCAACACCTGTGGTCCGGGCTCCTGTATTCTTTTTTTTTTTTCTTCCCGCATTAGCAGTTTCATTGTCTGATTCTGTCAGGCATTAAAAGGTTGTCCTTATTATAGTTTTTCTTTTGATTGAATGATGGCAAAGATTACATAGCGTTTGTTATGTCATGAAATATTTACAGTATAAGACAACAATCTGTGTCGTTGTTAATTGTTACATTTTGATGTTTTTTTTTTATTTTTTTTATTCCACTTCAGGTACATGAACAGACGAGCCACTGCCAACTGTCGGTACCAACCAACCTGCTACGAGCATGCTGCTAACTGCTACACTCATGCTGTAAGTACTGTAAAACAAAACGGCATCATAACAAAAATGAAAGTGATTGCACATTCATTGTTAGTATATTATTATTGATAATAATAAATATTATTATTATTATTATTATTATATTATTTCTATGTTTTTCCTTATTTCAGCAGAACAGAAAAAAAACCCCCACAAATTTTATATAGTTTTTAGAAGATCAAAAGATGGAATCATTAACATGGGTAAATGTGAGGAATTAAAAAAAAACAAACAAACATAGTACTCCAAATTATGTTGTTTAGAGTTGGTAAAGCCCTTGTCCTTAATATTAATCAGTCTACAGTCCCTTGCAATCCATTTGACAATTGCCAGTCAGCTGTTAGAACAGCTGATTACTCTGTGCTCTTTATTAGCAAAAGCTACGAAGGTAATGTATGGAGAGCTAAATGCTCATTAAATTACTAGTGGACTAGACTATATTGCCAGATACGCGATGTGAGTAAAATATATATATGCCCATATACTGTATTTATGTGTGTGTGTAATTATATATATATTAGGGCTGGACTTATTCATATCTTTTTTTTTTTTTTTTTTAGAAGAATGGCAATACTATA